CTAGAAAGGTACACACACACACACAAAAGCCGTGGCCATCTCATGGGTTCCTTGTCTGACAACGTGCTCGTCCGTCATCAAAAAGATGTGAAATATTCTCCCTAGTATACAAAGGTAAAAGTTATACACTCTTACTAGCGGCTGCGGCTTAGGGCTTAGGGTGAGGGGATTGCACTCCGTGGGTCACGGCTCTCCCCGGACTTGTTCAGGCAAGCCCTTCCGGATTCCAGCTGATGGGATCTGGACTCTGATTAACTTTTGAAAGATGAGGCCTGAACGACGAAAAGTCTAGAGTAACCCAACTAGATGGCTTTTCCCACAAAACCCTAGAATCCGTAAACCATCAACCCTAAGCCTCAAAGCCTAAACAATCAATTTCATGACCGGCAATTTCTTTCAACCCAAACCCTACACCACCTTTTTACTGTACCCTAGAGCCTTATGAACCACTTCGCAGCCCAAAGCCTCGCATGTAAGGTCTTCTGCCGGAATTGGTTCGTAGCCTCAGAAATGGGAGTCTCCTGCTGAGGTTAGGGTCCAACATCAGCATCACGGTATATGGGAACTTCTCAATACGGCGCCCCTAAGGGACCCCAGGGGCACATGGGGATTCACACAATTTCTTCCAGGCTGCCCAAAATAGGGTCCAACGTTTGTGCTCAAGAGCAACTAGGTGCCAGTCCATACATGGTACCCCAAACAACTCCTCAAACCTGAAAACCTCAGAATAGCAAAAATCATGATAGCATATAATATTACTACTAATTTCACTGGCAATAATAGTGGTAAGAATAACAGTAATGGTACGATTTACAGGCGCTCCTTAGATTTTGGCTCTGCTGCTCAGCGGCTTACGACTTTGGAAGCTGGAGGCAACTCCTGCAGAAGCTTCTGAACTGCACCTGTGCCGATCAGCAGTACGGCGGATGCTCCAAAACCATAAAAAAACCCTAAGTACCCTCAACCCTGGAAATTGAGCGAGTTTGTACGACTATTGGTTTTGTGGATTCTCATGCCCCAGGTCTATCTACTCAAGTGGAGGCCATGCCACCAAACCATCTCACAGGCTCACTTGATGACTGAAGGGTCTGCAGCATGCTTGAACGCGATCCCTAAAGTCCATCAGAATCGACTTTCCGCCAGCACCCAGGCACCAAACCTCTAAACCATGACACTCTGAACCCGAAACATCCCTGGTCCCAAGCCCACTTCCATTAATTATCTCACATAATTTCTCGATTCCCAAGCTCTGAAAATCGCAGTCCGAGGCTCGCTGCTTTAGATCGGCAGGCCACGCGTACGTGTTCAGCCAGACGAGCCCTGAACTGATTGGCGCTCAGCAGGGAATACGGGAATGGCATTAGGGTTTAAGGTATTGTTGGGCTGGAGATATGTAGGGACCCTTCCTTTATGTCCTTCTAATCTACGGTCCCCCGCCAAAATGTTGACACTCACCGATCTTCCCAGAAATTCTCTGGATAGACTCGCAAACCCACATCAAGAGCCCTTCCCTCTTTCAGATGTATAGTGGGGAGCAAATGTGCCTAGGCAAAAGGCCAAATGCAGGATCTAGCAAGCTCTGGCCCTCACCTTCTCCTTTCTGAACAGCAGGTCCCCTACCGCTTCCTTAGGTGGGAAACATGTACAGCATAGCTGGCGGCTCAAGAGTTCCAAAAACAAGTTTTAGGGCCTAGATAGGTCCCACGACGCATCACAAATAGACAAGATAGGCTTTGTTATTGTCCTTGCGCCCTTCTCAAATGTAGTGGTTGAGGTCATGCCGAATCATGCTTCGGGAGGAGCACCCAATACCCCTCCTCCCCACAAAGACGTACACCCACATCACTGCGACAGCCATGTCAAAAAGAAGACCACCCACGCCTGCTTGAGACACGTCAGCTTCAAGCGCATCTTGGCAACGGAATTCGACAGAGCCCACAAGGCCAAATTCCTGCAGACATGACTATTGATAAGGGGGGCACGTTTTCCAGCTTGAGGAATAGGGTATATAGTCCTAAATGGGGAGGGGACCCCAATATACACCCCAAATTACTCTAGTTCGTCTTGTTGTGGGGACCCCCGCCCAAAAAAGTACCCCTAATTCAAGGAAACCACCATGGCGTAGAGCAAGGCAGGACTCAAGGAGCTGGAAGGTATCATCTGCAGCTCACGGAGACCTTGCTTACACGGGTTAAGGGTACAGAGTATTAGGGCTTAGGGTTCCACGGTCCCGTTGGAGACTTAGCCCACAGTCAGGAGTCTATCTTTAGCTGCTCGTACAAACAAAGTGTCAACTTGAATGCCTTAAGTCTTTTCCGTTTCATTCTGCATTAGATCAGAACCAGCTGACCTATTCTAGCTCCCGCGAAAGAGTATAGTCTCCTCTTGGGCATCTCGGATGTTGACCCAAAAAGGGACCACCATTTTGGCAAGCTACCAAATGGGCTTCGTAGTGATTAGCATTGGGCTTATCATGTTCATACGCTTTAACCAGGACTCTCACTGCAAGCCACACAGCCCCAATGCCCAAACCCCCTACCCAAGTCCTAAAAGCCGCAAATCCTTCCCGTTGAAGCCTAAGCACTGTGTCCATACACCAAGTTTTTGGGAAAAATGCATCGGAATCCCTTGCGCAGCCCTTTGGCATCCAAAACCCTCCGGCCCAATCCTCTGCCAGTTGCTGTGAGGCCTGACAGGCTTTGTTGGGTTCCCGCTAAGGTTGAGGAAGCAAGACATACGATGGACAGACGGGTTTCTCCATGACTGGTAGCTTTGCTTTAGTTCCTGAATTTGGAAAGCAGCCCCATTTACTGCTTCTGGAGATAGGGATCAGAGTTTTAGAGTAAGCATTCAGGGATGAGTTTATGGATCTGGTGGTGTAAGGTTGCCTTAGCCAGTACCTCCAGTAGAGTCTTCCGAGGGTGTAGGCTGTTAAAGTCGGGTTCCCATAGATGATAATGAGGGGCCATATCGCATAGGAGATCTCAAGAGACACCATGCTCTTGACAACCTTCCCAACTAATTCCGCTGTTGCGCAGCAACACTAAATACCATGTTTATGAGCACGCCTGAGCAGTAGGCAGTCGTGCTGTTAGACACGCTTTGTCACCTCCTGCAGGAAATCCTCCAAGATGTGTGCGTACATGTTTCCTACATGTGCGGAGGACCTTCACAAAAAATGAACAGGACAAAACTGTCGCAGCGTCTGACTCCGGCCTTACCGGGACTGTCTGAAATCATGAGGGATGGTCTTGTGGAATGATAAGCCTACAAGGCGAAAGTCCTTGTGTAGAAAATGTATGAATGAATGATGTAACCTGATCATGAGAAGAGGGCCTAAAGGGAAATGCCAGCTCTTGAGCTTGCTAGTTTACACTGGTCCCAAGTACTAAACCCCTATATGCTTCCTCTCTCCCAAACCACTCTTGAATCCGTGCTAGGGGCAAAGCCGTGTGACGGCTAGGGGAGGTTGGGTTCCAACTGAACTGCGAGGCCTTGCTCCACACAAGCACTCACACATTCAAAGCCCAAACCCAGTCTTATTCAGCTCTGAGGCCCAACTGAAAAGTAATCAAGAAGTCCTGTTTCCCCATGCCTCTCTGATGTGTGGAGATGAGCTACACAAACTATCATAGAAGGATTCCACATGAAGCATGCTGTGCACACGCAAGCCACGCGACATTCAGATGCCGGATCCAAAAGCGTTGCCACCCCAGAGCAGAATCAAGTCAAATCACAAAACCAACAAGCAGGCATCAGGCCCTAAAAAATCCTAGAACCCCAAACCCTAACCCTTGTGCAGACCGCGGGCCTTACATCAAGAACCTGGAGCCCATGCACTCAAATCTCTAAGCCCCTTGGCATCCAGACGCTAAACTCTCAGACACAAGGATACCTGAACTTGGGAGCTCAAGATCTCAAAGCCGATGCAAGGCGAATACCTTGGCTCTGGCACCGCTGCTTCGGGGCTTCGGGGAGGAGAAACTGGGGGCTTGAAGGCGTATCCTCCCACAAACTAATATGAGACCCCATAGAATACAGCGGCCTTTTGTAATCTACCAAGGGACCATTCTCAGGCTTCATGTTCGTTTGGACGAGGGAGGGCTTAGAGCGAAGATCCAAAGAAATGGTTCCTTGGCAGCGATGTTAAATATCTCTTATGCTCTCCTACGCTCTGCATCCATCTCGTCGTGTTCGGGACAGCCTATAGTGAGGTATGCCTTGACTCGTTGTTTTGGGTGTGGGGAGGCTGGCCTGAGTTTGGAAGTACCTCCAAGATGGCCCAAGATGGGCCGCAAATTTTCTTCTGCCCAGGATTGATATTTGGGTTGTATGGACTTCAGATGACTTCAGAAATGGTGCTGTGTTCAGGGAGGAGTTAATCATGAGTGCGTCAAGTTCTCATGTTCATCCTGCAATGCTCTAAGCCGCACGCAAATCTCAAAATCCGTTGGTTCTCCTTGCATGCAATAGCCTTCTCATAATTTTGTCCCATCCATTGTTGCCCCAGAAAGTCTCGGCTCTAGCCAATCGTAAAGCACGCAGATCCCCCTTCCAATCCAAAACCAAAGGCGAACAATGAGGTAGGACGCATACTGGGATTTATCTATATCAAAGGGGCGGCATGGTTTATTCGGGGGAAGTGCTTGCTCACCAAGTAAATAATTAAAGCTCTGACTCTGCCTCAAATGGCTTGTATAGCTGCTAGAGGTCTCTAAGGAATCGACACAAAGTAGTTGGCGACAGAGTTGTTTGGAGGTGCACAAGAATTTCCATCCCTGGGTGGTTCTGAAAATCAGGATCCTACTCTCTGAGGGCAAATCCAAGGGTCACCACATGATGACCAATACTTATCCTGAAATCGCGCCTTGTGAAGCTGAGCGACTCCGTGTTCCTTAAACTTAGGCCGAAAACCCTGCATGATCATGAAGCCATTCCGCCTTCCTCCATAGCCTACCACTACCAGGGTGTGGAGTTGCTGCAGGGCCTCAAGAATCAAGAATCTGAAAAAGGGGTCTTGGAATGCGTTGTAGATCAGCTGTACAAGGCATGTGAAGAAAGCATAAGGGGGATTGCTCAGACTCCTACATGATGCGTTGCTTCCCTCTGCTTGGTTTTCAGTATCCCTTTCGGGTTAGCAGGTGAACCTACTCAAAAAAGTGCCTTCACCTACCCCCAGCCCCATCCGCCCTTCCACTAGTTTCTGACCTATGAAATCCACTGAGACCGAATGAAGAAAAAAGGCCTTTAATCCACTGTTTGGAAGCTCCCGCACGCGTATGACAGGGCATCGCATTTTTTTCCGAGGTGGTGCGCGGGCACCCCTTGAGATGGAACAGGTCTGCTGCTTACAACAGCCGTGGATCCAAAATCTGCGATCGGGCACGCCAAGACTTCAATCTATAAGCTGCCATCGTACCCTCACCCCCACAAGCTTGCAGCATCCAACCTTCATGAACGCAATCTGTGCGCATAACACAGGCGGTGGATTCAACTATTGGTGCTGCATGGAAGGTGTGGGTCCAGCCCTTGTTGGAGGATTGTCTGAAGTACTTTTTCATTAACGATGCCCCCAGAGTGTTTTCTGATGCAAATGAAATGATTGGCATGCCCACGCCGAAGCTGTCTACAGTGTTGAAAGGCTGTAAGCATAAGGGCTTTACAATTCCCCCTTCTGCTTCTTGCTGTAGGAGTGAACGGACTTGAGAAGCCCAAGGCCTGAGCTCCTTAGCTGCAAACGGAGAGGTTGTGCCGCTGGTGGTGACGTTGCTGTGGGCGGGGGCATGGGTATCTCTAGCAGTGGTTGTAGCGGCAGCAGCAGCCGATGCCCTAAGAAATGCTGCTCCTTCGATAAAACAATTTGGTGCATCCGGTGGGAGAATACAGCTTGCTCCAAGCCTGCACTTGCTGCATGCAAGCTCAGGGCCCTGGCAAGCCACTGGAAAGGGCTTGGGAGGTAGTAAGAATAGTAAGGGAAAAATAAAAGGAATAATCGTAAAAGCAGTAACAGTGAATCTTCAAGCACCTACCGCTCAAAGACTGAATCCTCCAACTCTGGCTCTCAAACCTGGTGCTGGCTGTGCTAAAGACTATGACGCAAAGCGCACGGGACAAGGGCGGAATGGCTGAAGGCAAACGCATCCCCCTACCCAAGCCCTACGATATCACTCAAAGTGCACATGGCCATCCCCAAATCATGACGATCCATAACCTCAGGAAAAAAAAGCGGTTAGCAACTTGGTTCGAGAAGCTTGACCGCCTCCACATCCTTGTCCTTCTTCTCGCTGGCTTCTTGGTACTGCTTCCTTGCTAGGTTTCTAAACCAGCTTGGGTTTCAAACGATGCCGGTGGCTGACGTTGCATAAAAAAGGCAGTAGCTCACACTGCTCCAGGACCAAACCGATGAATCACAATAGACTAGTGATGCAATCTTTCAGCCACAGCGACGACTTCAAGACCTGAACCTAACAAAAACTCTCACCATAAAGGGCTTCCATAGCACCACTGATTGCTAAAGGGTTCATGCTGAAAACAGAGCTGCTCGCCATCGTGACATAACATCATCTAGAGTTGAAAGTGGCACTAAGACTTGGGTGGTACTCCGGCGAGTGCGGCTGGCCCGCATTGAGTCAAACCAGGAATCTCTTCATGAATGCATATGGGGCTCCCCAGCCAAAGCTTCGGAACGAACTCTAGCCCTGGATGGGTGCCACGAAAAGCAAGTTTTCTCGAAATGAAGTCCCTTTTTGGGAGAGCTTCCATAACAAGGCTCACGGAATTTGGGAGTTGAACAAAGGGGGAACCCCTAGTGTTGTCGTCACAAGCCAAATCCCGCATCATGCATCTTACCCCAGGGTATTCAACAACAAGTCAGAGCTTCTGAAGCCCTTCTACGAAGGTCTTGAAGTCAGACTCCAGCTTCTCAATGTCTTTCTCCTTCTCCTGTTCGTCTTACTGGCGCTTGAAGGACAATGGGAGATTAGATCCTTTCAGTTCTTTCTTTTATTCCCCAGTAATGATACCTACATGCATTTCCCCACTCCCCCTTGAGCACCAGTAAGTCGGCGAGTATGCAAGGCTTTGGGTTTGAGGCCTCGTAGAGGGTCCTTTTTGGGTCCAAGATCTCAAGGACCTGGGGATCTGGGCCTAACTATCTCAAGAAGGCCGTGTATAGTGCCTGCGGCGAAGGGGCGAATAATCATGAGTTTTATTCGCGCAGGATCCGTGTGTAACTATACTGTGATTTATTTACCTTGACGACGCCTGTGAACTGCTTAGGTCCCCCAATTACATCCAATTACATCTCAGAACATGTCAAGCTGAACGTACAAGCTACAAGCATGCTCTTGTAGGACCATCTCCAAGACTTCTATTGCTTTCAGGCCCAACAAGGTTCAGGGTTTCATAATGTAAAAGAAAATGGAAAGTACGATATTATTTAGGGTTTAGGGTGTAGCAGGCCAGAACATCTAACGAGTGCTCTTTGAAGGTTTCTCAACGGTATCCCTATAGATTCTCGTCCCCTTGTACTCCCACATATCTCTGGGGCCCCTAAAAGGCCTACATTTCGAGGAAACTCCCTATTGCTTTGGGGTGCAAAAAAGGAACAACCAAAATTACCAGAAGCCCTCAGGTGTGGCTAACGAAGTCTGATGTGGGGGCCGAAATGCTGAGTATAGGATTTTGGTTTATACTAAGGTTATATCAGCGTTATGAGAGGAAGATCTTAGCAAGATTATCAAAGGCATAGTACTGGCAATTTGACTGTAACATTACTTTTTGGTTGTATGCTGGTGTGATACCTACGTAAAAAGTATCAGGACGGTTGCAAAACTTTGCCGTTTGGGTGGCCGGTGTACACGACATCCCAATATGCAAGGAGCCAGAGAGCATGCGCACTTTCCGATCCTTGATCATGCTCTCACGCTTGGTTGCATCGAGGGCCATGAACTCCTTGTCGAAAACTGAGAAGGGTGGTAGGGGATTCCTGTCATGTACCCTCTCAGCCGTTGGAGGTTTGAGCCTGTGAGACTCGAGCAATGTATTTTTTGAACCTAGACAACATGGAGCAATTAATGTCCTCCTGCCAAGAACAATCCCCGCTTGTCGTTACTTTGCTCTGATTCAGAATGGCTCAGCCCTAAACCCTGAACCCTAGCAAACTCAGTAAGGATAACCGGCGCAGTCGGGGGAGGCTATTGTTCTTAGCAGGCCCAGGTCACTACGTATCTATAGCTACTGCGCTTACTCATGCCTGTATGTGGAAACAGGTTCGGCTACGCCGCACCATGTTGTGGATGTGCGCTTCCGGGGTCATCTGATGTTGTTCGGCTAGGCGCTGAAGCCCAAGGAGCGGTGACTATGAGGACCCTAATCGTACCTGGACTCATGGAACCGAGTGTTCCGTGGGTTGAGGCAAATCCAAAACACCCAAGAATTTCAGGATCCCACAATGCAACTTGGCAAGGGACTCAATAAGCCAAGACCGCTCTACCCCAAACATGAACACCGATTTTGTCAATTGATTCAAAAATGTGGAATGTTTTTCAAGGTTCCTGAGTTTCTCCCGCATATGCAAGAATTGGAATTGCAGTCAGAAAAACAGCGGAACAATGTGCTGGCAGGGGGTTATCGCTTGTCCGTGGAATACAGAACACTCATCTCACAAGTACGACCCCTGCACACCAAATTCGGGTCCGGATTAGCAAGATCACCATGGTGACCCCATATTCCACCATGATTTCGGCCATTACTCACAGAAGTCACCCCACAAACCATCTGCAAAACCCATGCAAGCCATTTGTTACAGATCGTGCAGAATCAAGTTTGGCTCCCGTACCCCGTCCCGAGACATGCAGGAAATAAGCACTAGCCAACATCAATGCATGCACCAATGTTCAACGTACTTTAGGCTGAGAGAACAGAATTCTTGCCCAAATAGGGCCATGCGCAACCTCGACTCTGAACCCAAGACATAGCTTGATTCTAACGGAGCTCCTCCAGCATCTTCTTTTTCTCTTCATCGCAAAGATCCTGCTAGAAGCAAAGAAACATTGAAAGCCACCATGGGCCCTTCCACCTTC